AATTTATAGTATTAATTATATTAATTAGTTTATCTTTTTATTATTTATGCTTAAAGTGTCCCTAGTATTATTACCCCTCACATTACCACATAACGTAACCGAGTCCACTTTTCTCCCTAACATGTCCAAATGGCCGCAAATTGGCTTAGCCTGCATCTAGGGCTGAGGTTAGCAGTCCCTCATGCGGGGCTTGCTGGCTAATTGTACGTGCACGTCGTGTTTCGTCACTCGCCGCGTCCAACATGACGGACTGGCCGATTAGGTATGAGCGCTGGAGTGGGCGTAAGGCAGCAGAATTATTGAAAGAAGGGAAAACAATGCTCAGGCATTCCGTTTCGCTGGCCTTGACCCCGCGTTCCCCCGGGGGCTTCTTCAAGGGCTCCATCCCTTTGAGTGTGCGCAGGTGCCATTTTGGTAACGACCAAGGATGTTAACCAATTAAAGACATGAGATTAAAAGATACTTAAGTCACCTAAGAATATATATGGTAAATAAAGTGCCTCATATACTAGAAGTTACAAGCATATAAGTGGCTACCCTGCTATAAACGAAGTACTTAGCAAGTACTAGCGAAAAGTGGAGTATATACATAACTGGCACCTGCGCACACTCAAAGGGATAGTAATGTACTGGGGAAGGTTTGTGCGCCTTGTCCAGGGTATGTCAAATGACTCCCTGCGTTCCCTTTGCAGGACCATTGGCTGTGGAAATGACGTTTTGGGAAGATTTCTGGAACGTCTTGATCCCTGCTTGGAATGCATTAGCCTTGGGGGTTTTGGGGCAAGGCGAGCGTTTTGTGGACCGGGCATGTCGGGCCGGGATGGGGAGCGAAGCGCGAGATGAGGCTCTTTGCCAGTTTTGGGCAGGAGCACAGAACTCGTGAGGCTCTTGTTCCCGTGTTTGGGTCAGGAGGATGGCTGCATGTGTGTGATTGTCGTTGCGAGGTGCACTTGGGCTTCCGCATCTTGAGAACGAGGGCACAACGATTGGTACTGCATCTCACTAACTGAAGAATGGCCACATTAAACACAGAAACGGAGAATATGACTTTGTAAAACTGTGTAAATAAAGGTCTTCTCACTGTAGTGGTGTACAATGGTGGTGTATGTTAGCATTCAATGGATTTGACACTTCTTTCATTATTGCTGCAGAGCTATGCCTCTATTCCCGTGCAATCTCCACTCCACGGCTTGGGCAGTGGCTGAGCAGCTCCGCGCCGCATCCTCGCCAAGTGGCTCAGTCGCCCTGCCAGCTGGCCTGCTGCGCCCCAGGACCCCAGCCCGTTGAGCCGCCTTGTCTCCCAAGCCCAACTCCCATCCTCCACGCGAGCCAAACTCCCCGTCCGCAACCCAGTGGGACAAGCGCTCATCACCAGCCTTAGCCGGGAGCTTGGACGGAGCCGCGACAATGGCGTCATGGCAGTTGAGATATCATGGGGAATTAGATCTAATCTGCCATGAGGACTTGACAGAATTCGCACAAGGAATTGAATAGCCTCCTATGGGCTGCAAGACCCGGTGGAAATGCCAAATGAAGCGCGTTTTTGACCCTGACCGTCTGGAATAATAAGTAACAAGTCTTTTATCCGCGATATGACAGTATTTCAGAAACATTCATGGTTATTCAAATCGTCATTTGCAAATGCTGAATGGATTCATCCTGGTAGCACTTCTCTGTGTGGAGCATTCTCCTGTCCAGAACAATAATGGCAGCCTTTTATTCGCCAGCTGCTGCCTCCCTGCACGTGAGAACCCGCCTGCCTGGCCAGCCTATCTGTCCGCGACGCGCCAATCCAGCGTCAACCAAACTCGACTGGCCCGAAGGCTTTGTCCCGCCTAGCACGCAACATCGTCGCGTTTCTTTTGTCCGGCCGGTTGCTGCGGCGGCTGTACCATCTGATTTCGTTCTCGAGACGCCATTTACCATTGCACATTGCATTTGGCCTTGCCCGTCCCCAGCGCCCTGGTTGAAGCTGCCCCGGAGCTCTTTACGCGGCTGCCTTCATGCATGCCGTGCATTTTCATCATTCAGCCCAGGTCAGTGATCAGGCTAACACTGGTCTCATCACCACACAACACATGTCGATGATGGAGAAGAATTTACCCAATTGAACACTGTCGTCGTTCCATCTTGACCAACCAACTTTGTCAACCGACTACAGCTCATTTCTCTCTTGGAATTGTCAGACAATGCTGACGCTTCCGTTGCCCACCTAGTTGACTTTCGATCCTCTTACTCCCAGTGTCCGAATTTATCTTTCATTTCTTTCATTGGTGCTTTTTTTTTCTTACTGTAGCCTTCAGATCCTGCACGGTCGAATAAAAGCACCCTACAATGGTCAGCAAACGAAAGAGGGTGCTGGAGGACTTCGACCCGAACAAGTCTGACTCCGAGGATGAGAACTTTGACCCGTCGGAGGCTAGGGCACCAAGAAATTCCAAGAAGGCCAGGCCATCCCGTGGCCCTCGCCCTGGTGGTGTTCGCAAGAGAAGTCACAGATATCGAGGCTCCGATATTGACGAGGATGACGAAATCCTGTCCGACAGTCTGGGCGAGGACTCCTTTGTCGAGGATGAGTCGGAAGACCAAGATGCACCTGTGAACGCTGCTGGCCGTCGAACGAGAAAGGCTGCTAGAACCCATCACAGTTATCGGGAGAGTAGCGCTGATGAGGAGGCAGAGGACGTGGTGAACGACTCGGAAGACGCTGCCCAGGATGCCCAAGAGCTGGATGAGCCCGCAGGCAGAAGACTTGTGAAGCTCAAGGTTCCCAAAGGTTCCTCTGCAGGGGCTACGCGAAGAGCAACAAGAGCTAGCACTGCGGATGCAGACGAGTTCGTCGAGCTGTCCAAATCTGGTAGGCACGCAGTGGTGTCTCGCAACTCAAAAAGCCGTAGTCCGGAGGCGTATTCTAAAACCCGGCGGTCTTCCCGTTCTATGAAAGGATTGCACGCGGCCCCTGAAACCATTGATGAGGCGACTCAAGAAAGCAGTAACCGTGCTGCCGACGATGCAGATGAGCCTGACGAACTGTCACACGACTACAAGCCTGTCGAGAAGAAGGAAGATGAGGACGAAGACATGGCGGACACGACTGCTGTTGTTGTGGATGACGCAGTTGAACCTGTAAAGGAAGCCGAGGCTGTGCCTAAAACTACCGCAGGCGCAGATGCAGACGACAACGACGACGACGACGACGATGTCCCTATAACGCGGAGGACTCGTGCATCACGGGCCGCCGCTAATGCATCGAAAGAGGACAAGGCGGAAGACACGCATGGGGCCAGCACAAATTCCCGCCGCTTGAGGCGAGGTCGCTCTAAGAAATCTACTCAAGAACCCAGCAGTGACTTTGAGCCCGCTGATGATTCGGAGGAGGAGGCCATGTCAGAAACAAAGGGTGAGGACATTGAGAGTCCCACACCAAGAGGGAGAAAAGACAGGCGAAGCGCACGCAACTCACGCCGCGGCGGCGATTCAGGTGATGAAGATCTCGATGTTGACTTGGATGAGCTGAACGAGGAAGCCCGTGAGCTTCGGCAATCTTCAAGACCTCGCCGCCGACCTAGAGATGAGTCACCACCCATTGTTTACCAGGAGTCTCGTCGCGCCCGAACCAGAGTCAACTATTACATGCCTCCATTGACTGCAGCTAATATCGAAGAGGAGGAAGTCGAGGACCCAGCCCCTACCCCAGCCCGACGACGCCGCGGAGGCGCCAGTATAGGATGGGAGAGAAACCTCAACACCACCTTTGGTCCCTTTGGCGGGGGTGGTGGAGGGGGCTCGCTTCTCAACGGGCCATGGGGTACCGGCGCAGCTGGTGGTGTCGACTCTGACAGCAGCGATGACGAAATGGTTCACCGTTCAAGTGTTGGTGGAAATATCGGCGTGACACCAACAACAGGTGCTCCAGCCGGGGGCTTGCTTCCCGGTGGCCTCGGACTGAACCCCGAAGCAACGCCCAATGTCGGCAAAATTAAGGACAGAAAGGCTCTTGCAGATGCAGACCCCCTTGGTGTCGACCTGAGTGTTGATTTCAGCAAGGTTGGGGGTCTGCAAGGTCACATTGACCAGCTCAAGGAGATGGTTCAGCTTCCTCTGCTGTACCCTGAACTCTTTTCCAAGTTTCATGTCACTCCACCTCGCGGTGTTCTCTTTCATGGTCCTCCAGGTACTGGTAAAACTTTACTGGCCCGTGCCTTGGCCAATTCGGTCGGTTCCGGAGGTCGAAAAATCTCGTTTTACATGCGCAAAGGTGCTGATGCCCTTAGCAAGTGGGTTGGTGAAGCAGAAAAGCAGCTGCGTCTTTTGTTCGAGGAAGCCAGAAAGACTCAGCCTAGTATTATCTTTTTTGATGAGATTGATGGGCTGGCCCCTGTTCGATCCAGCAAACAGGAGCAAATCCATGCCTCCATTGTGTCTACTCTGCTGGCTTTGATGGATGGTATGGACGGCCGTGGCCAGGTCATCGTCATTGGTGCCACCAACAGACCCGACAATATTGATCCTGCCCTTCGACGACCCGGCCGATTCGATAGAGAGTTCTATTTCCCCCTGCCGGATATCGAGGCCCGTAGGTCCATTCTCAGTATTCACACCAAGGACTGGGGTCTGTCTGACCCATTTCTGGCTTCTCTTGCCGAGAAGACCAAGGGCTACGGTGGTGCTGATCTTCGAGCTCTGTGCACCGAGGCAGCGCTCAACTCCATTCAACGGACTTATCCTCAAATATACTCTTCCACAGAGAAGCTTGTTGTGGATCCAAACAAGATTAGTATTCATGCCTCGGACTTCATGCTCTCTATCAAGAAACTCATTCCTTCGTCGGAGCGTTCGGCCACATCTGGCGCGAAGCCTTTGCCCAGGGCTGTGGAACCACTTCTGCGAGCTCAATTTGGCGAAGCAAAGCGTTTGTTGGACGAATTGCTACCCAGGAAGAAGAAGATCACGGCTCTCGAAGAGGCCATGTACGAACAATACAATGACGAAGACCATGGCTTTGCACGAGAAGCTATGCAACAAGAATTTGAGCGGTCTCGAGTGTTCCGACCTCGTTTCCTCATTTATGGTCCGCATGGAATGGGCCAAGCGTACATTGCTTCTGCTATCTTGCACCACTTTGAAGGCGTTCATGTCCAGAATTTCGATTTACCAGCTCTTCTTGCAGATGGGAGGGTAAGTGCAGTTTGCATGATTTTATTGTCGTTGTAGCATTTTCTGACGGCTTGCAGTCTATGGAACAAGTCATTGTTGGCCTCTTCACTGAAGTCCGTCGCCATAAGCCCAGTGTCATCTATATTCCCAATGTCGATGCCTTCTACACGACATTGTCTGGAACTATTGCATATATAACCTTCAAGACCATGTTGAGATCGATTCCACCAACAGACCCCGTGCTCCTACTTGCTACGGCTGAGTGTGCTAAGTATGAGCTTCCTTCTCAGTTAATACAGGATCTATTTGGATTCTCGCGTAGAAACAGAATGGAAATTCCACGACCAGAAAGGGTAAGTGTAACATGGCTTTTTTTTTTCCTTTTTTCCTCCTTTTTTTGGGCTCAGATAGAAATTGGTCTAAATGTTTTTGTAGGATAACCGAGTGGAGTATTTCAAAGCGACTCTTGAGTACATCAAGAAGAAACCGGCTGAATTCCCTGATCCCGAAAACCGAAAAAAGAGAGTTCTTGAAGAACTTCCCGTTGCTCCTCCTATTGCACCAAAGCCGCCAACCAAGGAGGAAGTCAAGGCATTGAAGAGAAAAGACCACCAGTGGCTCAATGCCCTCAAGATTCACCTCCAGCCAATTATGGACCAGATCAATCGAAAGTACAAAAAGTTCAGACAACCTGTCATTCCTCAGAGTCACATTGACTACCTCTTTGCCGAGTCTGACCCCAATTACGTTCGACCAGACCTAGCAGGAGGGACCGTCCGGCCTTATGAGATTGTCAAAGACAAGTACGGCAATGATGTACTTCGAGACACCGCCACAGGCAAGTGCTACTACAATTTGGAGACGACTACAATCGAGGAGCGGCTGTCGAATGGATTCTACGCGCGGCCACAAGACTTTTTGTTTGACATAAAGGCGCTTGCCAAAGACGCCAGGAACATTGGCGACAAGGAACGCACACTGAAAGCCAATGAACTATTGAGCAACGTAGAGGTTGACATCGCTAGTATCGAAGCCACCTACGCTTTCGTTGATTGGGAAGGTTTGCATCGACGTCAACTTCAGCGGGCGGCCGAAGCAGCCGAGAAGGAGAGAAAGCGCAAGACGATGCAATCCATGCTGGAACGCGTGCAATCTGATTTAGGAGGAGGCAATGATAGCGACTCGCAAGGACCGCTCACGTTGGGCGAGACTGTTCCCGGATCTCGCACAACCGCACGGTTCCAGCTCCGAAGCCCGCTGTCCAATGGACAAGATGTTTCTGGGCAAGACCAAAGCAACTTGAGTAACGGCACAGAGGGAGCATCGAAGGAGGGCGACGTACAGATGGGCGGCGTAGATGATCGTACTCAGCATGCAACTCAAGCATCAGTCATGGGACCGCCCGCAAAGTTTGGGGACGACTCTACCAAGCACACGGGGATGACGCAGATTTCACAAAGGTCAGCCGTGACAGCTCTGCCACCTGGAGTGTCGCCTTCGGCAGTGGTTAATGATGCCTCGACCACCAAGACATCGGATCCATCCCCACATCGGTCTTCCAACTTTAGTACTCAGCTCACCAATGGCAACCACGGTGCACAGCAGAGCAGCGGCGACGGTGACCAAGATGTGGAATTGCCAGATACGCTTGTGGTACCGAGCCAGGCAACACCTAGTGACGAGGTTTGGCCTCACTCACAGGCGCATGGTCTCGCACGGGGTCAAGTGGCACCTGGGACCACCAATATGAGTGGCAGTCAAGTGTCAACTCCGTCTCAGGCTCGCCGTTCCAGTGGCCAAGCCGGTGATGCATTAACTCAGCCATCCCAGGAACCACAGTCGCAAGAACCTCAAGGACTGCGTTACTCAGGCTCGTCCGCTTCTCAACCACCAGCTGTTGAAGGCGCAATCGAAAATCTGCTCCATGTATTAACTGACGGCACGTCGGGCTGCACGATTGAGCAGTTGGAGCAAATCAACCGAGAATTGATGGATGAGATTTGGAAGTCCAGACACGAATGGAACCGCCACGCAGTTGTCGTCCATCTGGGCAGTGTGTTTAACGATGTGATATCAGACATTGAGCAAATTCAGGCTGTAGGGTCTTCGAGTCAGCGCGATAGTCATCTGGATATATAAAGGAAACAAAAAAGGGATGAAAACAAGAGAACGGGATCAGGTCAATTGGGTAGGGTGCGGGTAATGGTGGAAGTCTTGTTTTGTATTTTTGGCACGTTTTTTTTTTTTTTTTTTTTTTTTTATTTTCCTTTGACTATGAAAGCCAAGCATGTCAGTGGCCAGCCAGAGTGGGAGTTTTGGTTGTAGCAATTCTACATTGAAGGAGATGAATGCACCGAAAATTAAAAAAAAAAAAAGAGCTAGAGTAGAGAACCAGCGAGCATACATGACTCTTCTCAATTTGCTTCAATTTTGTTCTCGCTGCGATGTAATTAATTAATTCCTAGTCGTATTTTGTACAAGATATTGCTAGTCTGATGTCCTACTACATCTTGGACTTGGCAAGGTCTATCCTCTTCCCTTCATCGTCCTGCTCGGCGACACTCAAATCGGGCAGCTTGGCGGGCAGCATTCTGCGCGGCTCCGAGCCCGGCACGACGGCGTACTTTGAAAAATCAGTGACGCCGCAGAAGTCGCGCAGGAAGTCCTCGTCGAGGAACAGCTCGCCGTTGACCTTGTCCGCGGGGGCGCGGAGCAGGGCCAGGATGGCGTCGCTGAAGATGGTTGCCTTGCGCAGGTCCCGGAGCTCGTCGGGCGAAGAGCCGCCGAAGTGTTGAGTGGCTGCAGACTCGATGGCCTGCCGTGGGATTTTCCCATGAATTCAAAGTCAGCCCCGACCCCCACTTGTGTCTCGGTCAAAGGGATGCCGTCACGTCACGGGAGGAAAGGAGGAAGCTCACCACGGCAGGCCAGATGCTGGAGATGGCCATGCCGGCCGCCAGCTTGCCCTCGCGCACAAGGTCCATGCCCAGGCCCTTTGTCAGCACGCTCATGCCCACCTTGCCCATGGCGTAGGCCGTCTTGCCCCTGAAGAAGCGGCTGTAGACGGGCGGGCTGACGACGACGACGCGCGCGGCGGGCGAGAGGTGCGGCAGCGCCGCCTGCACCACGGCGTACAGGCCCTCCGGGTTGACGCGCTGCATGAGCTGGAACCTCTTGAGCGGCGTCTTGGCCACCGAGGACCAGTACACCGCGCCCGAGTTGTACACCAGCACGTCTAGCCGGCCGTATGCCTTTTTTTTTTTCACGGCCGGACACCGGGGTCAGCTACCCGAGGCCCGGAAAAGGGGGGGAGACGGGGAGACATACGGCAATGGCGGCCGAGACGAGCTTGTTGACGCTCTCTTCGAACCGGACGTCCACTTGTAGGGCGAGCGCGTCGCCGCCGGCCGCTGTGATTTCCCGGGCGACGGTGGTGATGGTGCTGTCGGGGGAGTTGGGGTCCGGCGGGAAGGGAGCGTTTTCGGAGGCATCGCTTGTTGATTTTGCCGCCACGACGACTGGATCACGGCGGGTTGTCAGTACGCTGGCCCTGTTTTTTTTTTTTTATTCTTTTTACATGTAGAGCCTTGGCTTGGCGGTTCTTGTTTGCTGGGATTTACCTGCGTAGCCGTTCCTTGCCAGATCAACTGCCACCTGGCGGCCGATGCCGCGTGACGCGCCGACTACTAAAGCGACGGGCTTGCCCATTTTTTTGAACGTGAACGGGACGAATAATTGGGTAGTTGTGTTTTGGGACAGGAACTGGTTTTATATTTAATTCTTATTAGAAAAAGTTGAAGTTGACCGGAAGGGGAGACTTTTGTACATTTATATCTAGGTGTTGGAGGAGAAAACGTAGCTCCGGCTTAGATGGGTTGCTGCTGGGGCTTCCCCGGACATGTGGGGCCCGGTGGGGGTCCAAAAGCGCCGCTGCCTCGGCTGGTGGGCTCGGCTTGATGACGGGGGGACGGCCGATGAGATGGGATCGGACGTCGGCGGGGCAGGGAAAACCCCGTAACGTGAGGATGTGAGCGAGGGTACGGTACACCCACTGCATGGCCATTGATTGTCGTTTTACGGAGTAGTGCGATAGGGCTGGTTTCTTTTTTTCCTTTTTCATGACAATGTGGCTGGGCGGGATAAATGTCCATGTGTGGGCCATGTGCTTTCACCTCCCGTTGCACTTGGTAAGTGATGAGATTATTAATCAAGTTTCAAAAATTTTTGGGTCTTTTTGGCCTAATTTAATGAAATTCTTTTATTTTTTAACCTATCTAAATGATTGTGCAAGCACTACGTCAGGTGAGGCTCAATAGAAGCAACACAATGTGGCGGCCGTACCCAAGCCTGGGGACTGACGTCATTTGGTCACCAACCAAAACCATTAGATAGTACATCTTCTCTGATTAGGACGAAGTAATCCTCCAAGGCAATTCGGCAACTCTATCTCTGTAGGTCTGCTCTGCCCTTACCCAGACACCTTCAGTGTCCCGGCGGTTCAGAGTCAGCAAGCTCGGCAGAAGCAACGAGGAGTACTCATCACTAGCTTCGCGAGCAATCAATGTGAGAAGATGGTCAATAGCAATAATGCGTACCTCGGGCCGGTCTAGCTTGCCCTCGGCAGGGGTGGTTAGGTTTTCAAACGAGGTATGACGAGAATACACGCGTATGGGATTGTTCTCGCTGTGTAGGTCGCATGACACGTCCGAGATGACGCGAAGACGTCTCTCGGATCCTGATAGCGGTTTCATGGTGACAAATGGTGGAGCAGGAGCAGCGCCGAAGTAGACGGCGTTGACAAAGATATCCGACGACGCAATCTCAGGGAACGGCCCTCCACGGCTCGTTCCGGCATATCCCACTTTAAGATGGAAACTTCAGCGACGCCTACAGCCTTCAGACAATTAAGCGCTCCTGTGCCGAATCGGCCTAGGCGCCAATCATAATGACGCGAGGATACTCTCTATTGCTTGCTGGGAGGGCTTCCTGGACCTTCGATCAAACAAGATCTACCAGCTTGGCGGCAGAATCCAATACTAGCGCAGAGCCTACAGGCGTTCCTGGATGAAGGATCTAGTGTGTTAGGGCCTACATGGTCACGTGTGAGGCACCAGGTTATTGTTGCTACGCTGCCACCCTCTAGCTAGCTCTTCTTCTTCTTCTTTTATATGATTAACTTCTTCACTTCTTTTAGCTCTCTTTTTTACTTTAAGCTTTTAATTAGCTTCTTTTATTTTATTATTAGATAACTTAACACTTTTAAATAGCTCCCTATTACTTACTTTTACTTTATTATTAAAAAGAATAATTAATTTAATTA